TCAGTATGAGTTACACTTAACATAGGTCAACGATTAAATGACTTACCTCTAACTTATGGCATATGCAGGAATACGTCGGAAAATCTTGAGCATGCTTAAAATTTCTCGATTTACTCGCCGTATGTCGACGTGTTCCAGCGTGTTCCAGCATATTTCAGAGTGCTCATAACGTATACAAAACGTACCCATAACGTATCCAACGTATGACAGCGTTTTTGCCCGATTTTTTGTACGTCAGGCATATGCTGGTCTAAATCGTCAAGGTGTGACAGGGGCTTTAGACTCCTCTTTACTGCAGCATAGCAGCATCATTTTGTATATAAAATTAGTGAGAAAACTGACCCTACCTATTACCTCTCAGGCATTAGAGGAGCTAACCAAGCCCTGACTGATAGCCACCACCTTCAGCAAGCAGATACTGGAAAGTGTTAACACCCAAAAGGGGAGTTTAGAAGCAGTTTGAGGATTATGTGCTTTCGTTTCTCCAGTGCTTTGGAAACCATCCAGTGTAGCCTTCTGAGGGACAAGCTGGAGCTGAGAGTGAACCACCACCTGTCCCAGTGGACCACCCCAATGGTCACTAGCTGTGTTTCCGGCAGTTGGGTCTCAAGTGCATAGCCCCACAGGGAGCTGTTCTTGCTTACACCCTATTCTGCAGACTAACCCATCAGCCCATTGCATTGCCATAGTCAGAAGTATTCAAATGAGGCTCCTTTCCTGGATGTCACAATAGCTTTTTAGGAACTTTTGGACTGGTGCCAGCAGAACCACCCACTACAGGGAACTTGTATTGACATTGTGGACTCCTAGACGTGCCAAGGTGTTCACCTGAACAATAAATGACTGGAATCACAACACTTTTGTTCCTTGTAGAAAGCGTCAGAGCTTTCTACAAGGAACATAACCCTAACTCTAGAAAGAAAGATAGGCGCTGATGGACCATGATAAATAAAATAACATAATAAATAAATATGTAATAGTGTCACAGAGGTATAAAAGTTAGGGCAAATAAACCGTTAATATAACAAGATAAAAACATTATCATGAAGGTGAGAAAGTTTTCACCTCTTGCCATCCATTGTTTGCTTGCAGCGTGGACTCTCCTCTGTGTCATGGAGACTGGCAGATGGACTAATTCAGTGTAGATTTAGTCGAGCAGTGAGACTTAGCCATGAAGAACCAGCCCGCTATGATCTGGACCAGCATTATTATCTCTTCTTGGCCAGTGGACATGGTAAGAAACAAAATATATATATAACCTTGTTTAATGTGGAACTATGGAAGTTCGCAGGAATCGTTTCTCACCGTTCAAAAGTTTGGGGTCACATTGAAATGTCCTTATTTTTTAAGGAAAAGCACTGTAGTTCTCAATGAAGATGACTTTAAACTAGCCTTAACTTTAAAGAAATACACTCTATACATTGCTAATGTGGTAAATGACTA